CGAACCCGGGGCCTTGGTGTTACCAGCACCACACTCTCCCGAGTGAGCCACGGGCCGGCCCCCAGATATATTATTTTTGATAAGTAGAATATATCCTTAATCTATTATTTTTAAAATGTGCTAAAGTAAAACCGTAACAAAAGCAAGCATACTGTAAAGTTACATTATAACTTTCAAACACATGTTTATTCATATGAAAGGCTAAATTTATTTCATAGTTTGCTTATAAGAGAGTTAATGTCTAACATTAAAGTTGATATTTTGTTACCTTGCCAATCTGGAGAATTTTAGGCAACAGAATTGCTTTAAAGCTCTTTAAAGTATACATCTTTACACAAAGAATAGTTAAGAAAGTGGTAACCAGCACAAAATGTTAGCTGTAGTTAGATATTGTAGTTCAAATATCAACAAGGTGGTATGTAGAGAAAGTTATGTCCTTAAAGTTGAAATAAAGGTTCAAAATAAGTTATCTTGAAAAGTGGGGTCATGAACACAATTCAATACATACTGATTTCAACTCCCCCAAACTTTATCACAGACTATATGAACCAATTTTTTTTCTGTAAGAAAAAGAAATTTAATAGCACCTTGATACCCCCATTAAAATTACAGTGTGGAGTAGAGTAGCTGACATACTCTAAAAGTAATCTATAATGAGGATGGCTTGACTTAATTATTCACACTTTCGTTCAGGTTGAAAATTTAATGTTTAGCAAAATAATCCTTCAAAAAGGGTGACTAATGCAAACAAATGAAGGCCAAGGACACATATGTATAGAGATAGTAATTGCTACCATTCGAACATTGCTCTTGGAAGAACCGAGTTAAATTGGTAACTATGACCCTTCTAGGTTTCTCAAAAAAATTAATCTCTCTATTGTTTTGGAAACACAGACATAATTTCCAACTAGTTTTTCATTACTTTGCAAATTCAGCTGTTCATTAACTTGAATACTTAAACTTGTACCGTGAGTTTACTTCTGTTTAAAAAGAATAAGAAAGGGAGTTTTATGCCGAGTTTTAAAAGAACACACTCAGTCTCAATGATTAGTGTTTGTTGTGTCTGTGAGGAGTCCGTATTTTCCTTAAAAAAACTCAGTGTGGAATCTTAATGATATTAAGATATTTAAGAGCATAATATGGGCAACTCACTTGAAATATATTGTGAATCTTGTCTGCTGTTGCTTTTTAAAAATACAATTGGCATTTAAATACATGGATTCACAAATTAATAAAAGTTATGATAAAAATACATTACGTGCGTACTTACTCTAGTTAAACATACTCTAGAACAAACATACTTACTCTAGTTAAAAGCAAATCAGAGTTTAAACATTTTTCTTTGAATCATCTCTGAAATGTAGTTTTATAGCAACACAATCTATTTTTAGTAAAAGTAAACTAAAATTGGTAATTATATACATTTCCAAAATACTGAAGCATTTTTATGCTTTCTTATTTCTTTTACTTGGATATAGGATATAGTGTTTCAAAACAAAAATAAAACACATAGCCAAAAGCAAAACAAAAACAAGTATGC